CACCATCAGCACCAGCCCCATGTTCTTTATCATCACCATCAGCATCAGCATCATCATCGTCATCATCATCATCAGCATCAGCATCATCACCATCATCAACAGCAGCATCACCATCATCAACGTCGTCGCCGTTCTCACCCATCATCGATATCAGCATCATCACCCTCGCCATCATTATCACACTGACCATCATCAGCATGATCATCATGCTTATCAGCACCATCATCATCACCAGCATCATCAGCATCAGCATCAGCAGCATCATCAACAACCACGTCATGGTGATCAACATCATCATCGTCGTCATCATCGTCATCCTCATCGTCAGCATCAGAATCATCACCACCACCACCATCATCATCATATCCTGCCTCACCCCTCCCCTGGGGAGCAGGGCACCCGCAGGGCGGCCAGCGGGGAGGGCGCGCCTCGCACCACCTGCGACAGTTGCCGCCGGGGGCGAGCCTCCGCCGCGGGTCAGCCCGCCCGCGCGTTTCTCGGATCGGGGAGGATGGGGAGGAGAAGGGGGAGGAGGAGAATCGGGAGGGGGAGGAGGAGGAAGAGAACAGAAGAAGGAAGGAGGACCGAGGATAATCGGAGGGGGAGGTGAAGGAGGATCGAGAAGGATAGGAGGAAGCGGAAGAGCGGGGCGGGGGAGATCAAATCAGGCACCTATCGGGTCCAAAATCCGCTTCGAACACATGCACACGCCAAGGGACTGACAGATTCTGCCGCGCTGATAGGTCATCGGGCACGCCCAATGCTTACGAGGAGGAGGAGGAGGAGGAGGAGGAGGAGGAGGAGGAGCGGGGTCGAGGATGAGAAGGAAGAGTGGAAGAGGCAGAGAGCAAGGAGAAGGAGACGGATCGATGGTCGAGGTTTCAGGCCTGAGGAACATCAGGCTTCCGACACTCACCACATATTACCTGCTGCCCCAGCCCCTCCTCTTCCTCCTCCTCCTCCTCGTTCTCCTCCTGCTCCTCTTCCTCCTCCTCCTCCTCCGATTACTCTTCTCATCCGGTTGACCTCAGTATGCCCGTCATACCGGCCTTCCCTCCATGTCCCTCTCCTCCTCCTCCTCCTCCCTCCTCCTCCTCCTTCCTCCTCCTCCTCCTCCTCCTCCTGCGTATTCCTCCTCCTCCTGGTCCTTCTCTTCTTCCTCCGCACCATCATCATCATCATCATCATCATCATCATCATCATCATCATCATCATCATCATCAGCATCAGCATCATCATCATCAGCATCAGCATCAGCATCAGCATCATCATCATCATCATCATCATCATCATCATCATCATCATCATCATCATCATCATCATCATCATCATCATCCAGCTCATGTCCCCCATCCTTCTGCCACTTAAGCAATATCCCTCCGCGACTTTCGCCATCGCATCGTCAACCTCCACTCCCTCCTCCTACTCCTTCTCCGCCTTCCCCTACGCCTCACCACCACCATCCTCATCAGAATCACACTCAGTACCAACAGCAATGGCATCATGGTGAGTGCCACCACCACCACCGCACTCGACTTCTCAATACCCTGCATCATCCGCACCGCGATCGAACCCAATGTGTTGCACAACAGATCAAGCTCATCTGCCTCCTCCTGGTCTCTCTCCTTCTACCCCACCTCCTCTCCATGAAAAGCCATCAACCCCAACCACATCACCATCATCAGCATCAACACCGCCATGGCCACCACCATCACCACATTCATCAACATGATTCCACTCATGTCATTGACCCGCGTATATGCCATCAAGATCATGATAAACATCTGCATCATCCGTGTCACCCTCCTCCACACCCTCCCCTTCTAATCCTCATCCTCCTCCCCGCACTTGCCACCTTCGTAATAATCATCACCATCAGCAACAGCATCACCATCATCATCACCATTACCATCATCAAGATCAACCCCAACACCACCGTCATCAGCATCATCGTCATCAGCAACATCAAGATCAGTACCAGCATCATCCCCATCATCATCAGCATCAGCATCAGCATCACCACCAGCATCATCGGCATCACCATCATGTGCATCATCATCATCATCATCATCATCATCATCATCATCATCATCATCATCATCATCATCATCATCATCATCATCTTCATCATCATCATCATCATCATCATCATCATCATCATCATCATCATCATCATCATCAGCATCAGCATCATCATCATCATCATCATCATCATCATCATCACATCACATCAGCATCAGCATCATCATCATCATCATCAGCATCAGCATCATCAGCATCATCAGCATCATCATCATCATCATCATCATCATCATCATCAGCATCAGCATCATCAGCATCAGCATCAGCATCAGCATCATCATCATCATCATCATCATCATCATCATCATCATCATCATCATCATCATCATCATCATCATCATCATCATCATCATCATCATCATCATCATCATCATCATCATCATGATCATGATCATGATCATGATCATGATCAGCATCATCATCATCATCATCATCATCATCATCATCATCATCATCATCATCATCATCATCATTAGCATCATCATCGTCATCGTCATCAGCATCATCATCATCATCATCATCATCATCATCATCATCATCATCATCATCATCATCATCATCATCATCATCGTCATCATCATCATCATCTCTCTTTCTCCTACATCATCATGTGTACCGATAAAATATTCGCCCCCCCGAAAAAAGGAACATACACCCTAACAGCAGAGAAGAGAGGAGACGGGGATCTACTGGTACAGATCGGGGGCCCATCCTGGCCAGTTTGCCGGATTGCGTCCAACCGTGACCACGAGGGCCCCCTCGCGAGCCGCTCAATGAAAACGGACAGGATCCACCAACAAATTGTTTGACACAAAAATTAGCTGATTTCCAAAATTATCAACCGACGCGTGCCGACCTGCGTTGAGCGATATGCGAAGTCAACTCTGGCACCACCGCCCGCCCCGAATCATAGCTATCGCGTTGACGCTGGTCTCGCGCCGTGTGCAACACAGAGGGACTATGCGCTCTTCTTGGTGGGTCACTAACTTGTTGCGCGCGCGGGCCATCCCCCCCGCGCACGTGCAAGCGGCGCGAGCGCGCGCACGCGAGCCTTGCGCTTCAGCCGCAACGAAGGCGTGCGCAGGGCATCGGCGCGCGCGCGCATCTCCAGCGCGTGCCAATCCCGCCGCGCGCCATGCGCGCGCGCGCGAAGGCATCATTGCGCGCGCGGAATGCCAGCGAGGGCGCGAGCCTTCAGGTCGCGCGGAACGCGCTACGACAAAGCACCCGACCAACCGCGTGGCATCGCAGGCCTGTGTGTTCTGTCGTTGCCCCATTTTTATTTTCGTCGACCCTTTCTTTTTTGTCGTCTGTTCCTTCTGGTGTCCTACACGGTCGAATTCGGAATTTCACCCGGGCTCTTCAACAAATTCGGGGTCATTCGCGGCCGGATCCGTCTTCCATACCTTTCACGTCTCGCGCGTCCCAATCACCCCTTCTGGAAACGATGCCCAGGCGTTGCTCATGGAAGCTTCAGTCTTGGTCCTCGCCCATTCCCTTGAGAAACCGCAGACAACCACTGGGGGGGAGACGCGTGACGGGCGCCGCGGCTTCGATTAGACAAAAACAACTGAATGTGATCCAAAACGATTTGGCGTTCGTCGTTTTGTAATCTTATGGGCATGGAGGGAGTGAGAAAACCAGCGATCCTCGATTATCGCTCCAGCTGCCCTCGCGCCTGGGCAATCAGTCGTAAGTATCCTGCTCGGTGTGGTTGCGGCTTCCTGCTCCCTCACCCTACGCGTCCAACAATCCACCCTCTCCTCGGGGGCTAGGATCTCCGACGATCTGTGTTTCCAAACCGCCAGCTCCATGGGAGGTCTCGGCCCATTCCCCAAGACCCTCGGAGCCCTCTAGAACCCCACAACGCACAAAAATACTACACCCTACTCCCACCTTGCTCCCAACTGGAGAAGGAGAACCCAGACCATCCGACGAAGAAGTCTGCTCGAGTCACCAGCTCCATGGAGCTCTCGAATGACTCCCAAAGACCGGCTCTCCATCCCGAATCGCTGTGTCACCTGTCATGGGTTGAGAATGCTCGGGACGCAAAATGCTTCCCAAAGACCTGGGTCCTCTTACTCAATCCTCCTCCATCCTCCACAATCGTTATCCTTCTTCCTCCTCCTCCTTCCTCCTCCTCTCTTTTCCTCCTCCACCCTCTCCCCCTCCTCCAGCGCCTCCCTCGCCTCCTTCTCTCCTCCTCATCATCATCAGCACCATCATCATCAGCATCATCATCATCATCACTATCATCATCATCATCATCATCATCATCATCATCATCATCATCATCATCATCATCATCATCATCATCATCATCATCATCATCATCATCATCATCATCATCATCAGCATCAGCATCAGCATCATCATCATCAGCATCATCAGCAGCATCATCATCATCATCATCATCAGCATCATCATCAGCAGCATCATCATCATGATCATCATCATCATCATCATCAGCAGCAGCAGCAGCAGCAACTGCAGCAGCAGCATCATCCTCGGTGTATCGCAAGCACTGCTCAGTCGTTCAATCTCACATGGACTTCGCCTCGTTAGCTGTCCTGCGCTGCTCAGACTATCCCCGAGCGCGCCGCAGCGCACGCGGCCCGTGCCGGCCACTACGCAGAGAATCCAACAGGTGGCGAGGCGGTCCTGGTACCGGGGGCAAGCTCAGAAGTTGAAGAGGGGGATTCGCAGACCATGGCCCGAGGCACTCCCGCGGCCGAGGGGGAGGGGGGGGCACGGGACGTGTTGTTATGAGAAGGGGGTGCCTTTAAATCCGGGGAGGTGTGATGGGCCCCCGCACACACACACCCCTAGTTATCCCCCCCTCTTGGACACCCCCGAGAACCGAAGGTTGGAGAAAGGCCGACGCTGCCGCAGCGCTGGCAGGCCGTGAGCCGCGCAAGTCACGGCCGGCGTGTCCCGGCCGCTGGCGCTCGGGTCGCCGCGATGCCGCCAGTGACCCGCCGCAGTTCTCGGGCGTGGTCCGACAGACAGTCGTCGCCAACCCGTCGGAGCTGTCGCCACCGAGTCTCGCGCGGGCCCTCGCCCACCGCGCTCGGGTCGGCTCCGGGAGCGCAGGGGGGGGCGCGGTGGCGACCGCCCAGGCAAGCGGTCCGCGCCCCCGATCGGGTGGCGACGCGGCCCGATGAGTCCACTCACGGCCCTTGGTGAGTGGGGTCACGCTGGTGGTCCAAGGACTTACCCAAGGAAAAGCCACCCCAAAAAGCGCATGGAGGAACCGCCGCCATAAAGCATTGCGCTCCGCCGCGTACCACCACACTCCACGTTGTCGTTCTCTTTCCGGGCCCGCCCAGGCGACCGAGACTAGGTGGGCGAAAGTCGCCTGTCGTATGGGGCCGCCTCAGTCTCACGCTCGTTGGTACATCCTGGGTCCTCTCCTGCTTCGCCTCGTCCTGACTCTGAGCATCGTTGGGGACGTCGACGAAGAGAGTCCCAACACCACGGCTATTGAGAAGCGGCCTGGCGTAGTCGACGCATGACTGTAGCCATCGGATGTGCCGTCGTTGCCGCAAGGCGACAAGAAGATGGACGGCCGACGCCCATTTGGCGTGGCGGCCCCTCCGTGTCAAAAATCAGTGGGCTCCCAAAACCAAGATTTTTGACACGGCGGCCCCCCGGGCCCACGGGGGGGCCGTGTCAAAAATCTGAGGCTCCCAAAGCCACACCAAGATGTTTCACATGGCGCCTCCCCGAGCCCACGGGGGCGGCATGTCAAAAATCTCGGGATTGTAAAAGCAGGACCTCAGGTTTTTTGAAGTGGCGGCCCGTGTCAAAAATCTTAGGATTCTGGCATCGGAGACCCCAGGATGTTGGAGCTCGGGGGGCCGCCACGTCAAACAAAAACCTAGAGTTGGAGCTCTGGGAACCCCATGATTTTTGGCGCGGCGCCCCCGTGGACTCGGAGGCCGCCGCGTCAAAAATCTGCGGGTGTGGGCTTTGGGATTCCCGAGAGATTTGTAACGCGGGTGGGCTCGGGGGGCCGCCAAGTCAAAACAAAAAAAATCGACTTCGGGCCTTGGGACCCCAAGATTTTTTGACACGGCGTCCCCGTGGGCTCGGGAGGGCGCCAAATAAAAGACCGTTGGGTTCTGGTTCTGGGAACCCGATGACTTTTGACACGACACCCCCGTGGGCTTGGGGGGCAGGCACATAGAAAATCCTGGGGTTCTGGCCTTGGGAGCCCCAAGATATTTGACACGGCGCCCTCGTGGGTTCGGGGGGTCGCCACGTCAAAAATTTTCGGGTTCTGGCCTTGGGAACACTTGGATGTTGACACGGCGCCCCTGTGGGCTCGGGGGGCCGCCACGTAAGACATCCTCTGGTCCGGGCTTTGGGAACCCACAGATTTTTTGACACAGCGCCCCCGTGAACTCGGGAACAACCCCCCGGCACAACGGCCAGCAAAATCCCGCAGCGCCACCCCCTGGCACAACCCCCCAGCGCAACCCCTCAACACAACCCCGCAGCACAATCCCCCGGAACAACCCTCAAGCACAACCCCCCAGCACAACCCTTCAGCACAATCCCTCCAGCACGCCTCGCCAGCACAATACCCCATACCCCAGCACTGACCCCCCAGCACGACCCCCCAGCACAGCCCCCCAGCACAACCTCCCAGCACAACCCCCAAGCGCAAACCCCCAGCACGACCCCCCACACCCACCGGGCACAACACCACCTGCACAGACCCCCAGCAAGACCCCCCAGCACAAACCCCAGGCACAACCACCCAGCACCCCCCCAAGCACAACCCCCCAAGCACAACCCCCCAAGCAACCCCCCCGAGCTCAACCCTACCGCACAACTCCCCAGCACAACCCCCAGCACAACCCCCCAGCACAACCCCCCAGCACAACCCCTCGGCACAACCTCCCAGCACAATCCCCCAGCACAACCCCCCAGCACAATTCCCCAGCGCAACCACCAGCACGACGTTATCGCCATGACCATGTTTGAATTATGTGTTCGAGGATCACTCGCGCGATGACCGCAAGGCATGGAACAAAACAAATAGTTATGAAAATATGACTTTAGAATAGGTCCGCGAGGCTCTGAGGCCAGGCATGCCGTCCTAGCTGTCTGAACTCCCTGTGCTGAGACTTGGATGTACACTGATCCTCCTCTTCTTTCATTTTCCTCCTGCTCCTCCTCCTCCTCCTCATCCCTTGGAAAGGCCAGCGGAAGGAGCCCGGGGAATTTGGACGCCTCCCGCAAAAGGTCCTCCCGGAGCCTCTCCTCCTCGGGCGCGCGCGCGCACGTCGGACCCCGTGCCAGGAAGAGGGAGAGGTGGAGGGGGGGTGGAGGAGGAGGAGGAGGAGGAGGAGGAGGAGGAGGAGGAGGAGGAGGAGGAGGAGGAGGAGGAGGGGGAAGAGGGAAGGAAGAGGAAGGGGGAGAAGCCAGAGGAGGGTACTGACGATGCGGGGTGGGTCTGCACCCCCTGGGGCCAAGCCTGCGGGAAGATGTTGGCCTGTGCCTCGTCCCATTCGCGAGTTCCCCTCCCGACGTTGGTGGCCACTCCCCCTAGCGACTACCGCCTCCGGGGACTCGAAACCGTGAAGCCTTGCTATCTGCTGGATGATGAAAGACGGGATCGCCAGAATGGCAGGGGTCGACGGCGGGCCAACCGCCGCCGAAGCAGACCCATCAACAGCCTGGAAATCAAAACAACACACGCGCTGAAACGACGCAACGCCCACACCATCTGCATTTGCCAGATCATGTCAGACGCACGCCGAATGTCATCGAGGGGCTAACACCAATCACGGTAGGATGAGACTGGCGGCCCAGGGCAATTAGTCCTCGGTATGGCACGATGTCACTGTTGCTCCTAACGAGACCTCCAAGCCCACGGGAAAGACGACGAACCTTTTTTTTATGGAGTCCGTTCGGGAGAAGTCAAAACAACACACGCGCTGATACGACGCAATGTCCACACCAGGGTGTACACCTCCCCTCCGCTCTCCCCTCGGGTCTGGAGGGGGGGGTCGCAAGTGGTTAGAATGTCCAAGATGGCACAATATGGCTTCAATATGGCCCTAGAGAGCTCAAGATGACTTCGAATATGGCTTAAGATAACCTCCAAGAGGCCACAACACTGCTCGAAGACGGCCCCAAGTGGCCACGGAGCCTCCCAAGGATAGCACCAGGAGGTCATCCTTGGGAGGTGGAGGCTGTGGAGATGGAGGTGGTGGTGGGGGTGGAAGTGGAGGTGGAGAGGGATTTCAATTACATCGTTGACAAAAGGTTCTCTCGCCTCGGGCTGCATTACAGTAGCTGCGCGGGGACGAAGAGGCGGAGGAGGAGGAGGAATGTCCTCAACTGCCCTGGGCGCCAGTTCACGCAGCTCAGGAGGAGGAGGGGGAGGACGACGAGGAGAGGGAGGGATGGGGGAGGAGGGAGGGGGAGGGAGGAGGGGGAGGAGGAGAGGGGGAGGAGGGGAGGAGGAGGAGGAGGGGGAGGGGGAGGGCGACGAGGGGGAGGGGGGAGGGATGTGCTCGAGGGACCGACGTGCGGCGACCCGCACCGCCGGGGCGCGGCGGCAGACCGACCGGGGCGGGCACCCGAGCAGAGACGCGAAGGGGTCTGAGCCTGGCGGCTCTCGGACCGTGCCTCGGGCCTCAGGCGGCCGCGCGGTCCGGAGTCCTGGCGACCCTCCTCCTCCTCCTCCTCCTCCTCCTCCTCCTCCTCCTCCTCCTCCTCCTCCTCCTCCTCCTCCTCCTCCTCCTCCTCCTCCTCCTCCATCTAAGATTTGGCGCAACGTCGTGTCCCCCCGCCCCTCCAGCGCAGATCGCATGCAAGAACCGCCAGACCCCCAGCGTCATGATTTTCCTGAATGAGAAGACTGCGGCCCCCTGATAACCACACCCTGGGAATAAGAAAATCTGGGGTCCCAGAGGGGAAAACAAAACTATTTCCCCTGGAACTCGACTGCACGGATGCATGGTGTAGGGATGTACGGTGTAGGGTGCACAAGTCGTAGTAGCAGTAGTAGTAGTCGTAGAAGTCGTAGTAGTCGTAGTAGTCGTAGTAGTCGTAGTAGTCGTAGTAGTAGTAGTAGTAGTAGTAGTAGTAGTAGTAGTAGTAGTAGTAGTAGTAGTTAGTAGTAGTAGTAGTAGTAGTAGTAGTAGTAGTAGTAGTAGGTAGTAGGTAGTAGGTAGTAGTAGTAGTAGTAGTAGTAGTAGTAGTAGTAGTAGTAGTAGTAGTAGTAGTAGTAGTAGTAGTAGTAGTAGTAGTAGTAGTAGTAGTGTAGTAGTAGTCGTAGTAGTCGTAGTAGTAGTAGTAGTCGTAGTAGTAGTCGTAGTAGTAGTAGTAGTAGCAGTAGTAGTAGTAATAGTAGTTAGTAGTAGTAGTAGCAGCATCAGCAGCAGCAGAAGTAGTAGTAGTAGTAGTGGTGGTAGTAGAAGTAGTAGTAGTAGTAGTAGTAGTAGTAGTAGTAGTAGTAGTAGTAGTAGTAGTAGTGGTAGTGGTGGTAGTCGTAGTAGTGGTGGTAGTCGTAGTAGTAGTAGTAGTAGTAGTAGTAGTAGTAGTAGTCGTTGTAGTAGTAGGACGAGGAGGAGTAGTAGTAGTATCAGCAGTAGTAGTAGTAGTAGCCATAGCAGTAGTAGTAGTAGTTGTTGTAGTAGTAGTAGTACTACGACTACTACTACTACTACTACTACTACTAATAGTAGTCGCCGTAGTAGCAGCGATAAGAGTAGTAATGATGCTGGTGGGAGCAGTAGTAGTACTACTACGAGTAGTAATAGTAGTAATGATACTAGTAGTAGTAAGTATAGAAACCGTCGTAGTCGCAGTCTCAGTCGTAGTTGTGGAAGTAGTAGAAGTAGTAGTCGTCGTAGTAGCAGTAGTAGTAGTAGTAGAAGTATCAGTAGTAGAAGTAGTAGTAGTAGTAGTAGTAGTAGTAGTCGTCGTAGTAGTAGTGGTAGTGGTAGTATAGTACTCGTAGTAAGAGGAGTCGTCGTAGTAGCAGTGATAAAAATAGTAATGATGCTGGTGGGAGCAGTAGTACTACTACGAGTAGTAAAAGTAGTAATGATACTAGTAGTAGTAAGTATAGAAACCGTCGTAGTCGCAGTCTCAGTCGTAGTTGTAGAAGTAGTAGAAGTAGAAGTCGTCGTAGTAGTAGTAGTAGAAGTAGTAGTAGAAGTAGTAGTAGTAGCAGTCTCAGTAGTAGTTGTAGAAGTAGTAGATAGTAGTAGCAGTAGTAGTAGTACTGGTAGTGGTCGTATAGTACTAGTAGTAAGAGGAGTCGTAGTAGTAGAAGTGGTAGAAGCAGTACTAGTAGTACTAGTAGTAGTAGTCGTAGAAGTAGTAGTAGCAGTAGTAGTAGTAGTAGTAACCGTAGTGATAGTAGTAAGAGTAGTAGTAGCACTAGTACGAGTACTACTAGTAGTAGTCGTAGTAGTAGTAGTAGTAGTAGTAGTAGTAAAAGTGAAAGTAGAAGTAGTAATGATGCTGGTAGTAGGAGTAGTAGTACTACTACCAGTAGTAAGAGCAGTACTGATGATAGTAGTAGTAAATATAGAAACCGTCGTAGTCGCAGTCTTAGTCGTAGTTGTAGAAGTAGTAGAAGTAGTAGTCGTAGTAGTAGTAGTAGCAGCAGTAGTAGTAGTGGTAGTGGCAGTAGAGTACTAGTAGTAAGAGTAGTCGTGGTAGTAGAGGTAGTAGAAACAGTACTAGTAGTACTAGTATTACTAGTAGTAGTAGTAGTAGTAGTAGTAGTAGTAGTAGTAGTGGTAGTAGTAGTAGTAATAGCAATAGTAGTACCATTGGTATTAGTAGTAGTAATTGAAATAGTAGTAGTAGTAGTAGTAGTAGTAGTAGTAGTAGTAGTAGTAGCAGTAGTAGTAGTAGTAGCAGTAGTATTAGTTGTCATAGTAGTCGCAGTCACAGTAGTAGTAATAGTAGTGATCCGCCGATCTGGCGTGTGATTCTCAAAAACCCTCGCATATAGCCTGAGTTTCAGTTCTTGAGCTTCAGTTCTGCTGGGAGGGTTGGTGCCGGGGTGGCTCTACCGGGGCAGGGGGGGGGGGTCCGAGTAAATTTTGGTGGCAGCAAAATCGGAGCTCCAGTTCACTGCGGGTCGGCCCCTCGTCCCAGAGAGCTCGAACGCGGGC